TGTAATGTTAACCAATAAAGTTAGGGGATTTCTTAAGTTTGATCATTAATCTGCTATGTCATGTTTATGACAGGTTGTGTTGTCTTAGTAATGTCAAGCTGTCATGACAAACACACTGACAGGTTATGATGTATTGGTTTATGTCAAGGTGTCATAAAGACATCTCAAACAATGTCATATTTGCATTAAAAATGTCATAACTGATCGAATGACACTTAATGACAGTTGTCATGAACATGCATAAAACTTCCTTCATATTCATAACATGTCATGATTATGATTATGAAGGTGTCATGTTAGTCTTATGCACACCTCTTCAAGTAATGTGTTTCACAATTTTACTGTATTTTTGATGTATAAACTCTTACCGACTCAATTTTCCGATTTGTTAAGTACACCTGTGAAGGATATGAATCACCACAGATGAGATTACGTGCGATTCAGTGTTCTGTTAACAGTATCTGTATCTAGTGAAGAATCCCAAGCCTGCAGAGAACGACTCTATGGGTAAAACCTCTAAAATATTCACAAGATCTAAAAGAAAGGGGAGAACAGATACACGTCGTGACATGCTACTGTGGCTGAACAAGAGACCGCAATGGTACTGTCAAATCCCCAAGTGTTCTTGGCCCAGTTTTGTCAAGGCTCACAAATTTCAAAAGATGAGCTGTCAGCTTACTTGTACTGAAATGACTAAATAGTAGGGTGCGTGAACAGAAAAGTCAAAACTTTATATCATACCACCTCTCCCTGGTGGTCAAACACTGGTAACACAATTTAGAACAAAAGGAGACAAACTTCTTAAAGCAGCACTATGTAACTTTTTCAACCTTTATAATATTTTTCCAAAAACCTTGAGATGGTACATCGACTTACAATAGCTTGAATGACAGGTCTACCATAGCCTGACGGCGTCTGTATCGCTTTTACTTTCGGGTAGGAACCCAAGCACAAAAAGAACTACAAAATTCGGCCGCTTTACGGCATACATCACTTCCCCCACTTCCTCAAATTCCGACGCGAGAGCTCAACGAGCGTTTTTTTTTTTTTACCTCTGTATCTTGTCATGGCTGAAGCAGCAAGTAAAGCAAATGTGAAGTGAGCCAGAAACAGAGCGTGTGCGATCAGTTTACTGTTGGTAATGTGTCTCCGGATCTGAAATTTAGATATGGTAATAGGCGTCTGTTTCTGACATGCGCTGTAAGTGGTAGACCAATCACAACAGACTGGGGCCAGTTTTAGCCAATCAGAGCAGAGTAAACCAATCACAACAGACTGGGGCCTTTTGGCCAATCAGAGCAGAGTAGGCTCTTGGAAAGGAGGGGTTTAGAGGGACTGGATCTTCGAAAGATCCGTTTTCAGACTATTTGAGAAATTAGGTGATATGTAATGGATATTACGAGAAGATTAAAGTGTTTGTGACCTTAAAGCTATTGTAAGAGACCTTCAAAATCAAATTAGGGAACCTTTTAAATAGCATAATTAGGGAATTACATTGTGTAAACATATTCAGTTTCTACATTCAGCAGAAACAAATTCCGCATTAAAGTAAAAAAACAACAACAGGTAATTGTGATGCATTTGCAACTATGAAAAAAATAAGTTAGATATTAAAGCAAGTACAAAATATTAAAGCTGCATTTACAATAAATATAGCCACGATTACCTTTTTAAAACCTGAAGTGGAAATGCTTCCATAATTGTAATAACACTTAAAGCAGAAGAGTTTATCTTTTCCAACGTCATAAAAATGTTCTTCCATCCCAGTTTAGCATGCACATATACATATGCATATATCTCAGATGTTGATTTCCTCTGTAGAGCTTTAAAAGCATTGCATTTATCCGAGCTTGAGTTTATCCGTTTGTACGAACAATGGCAGGAGTGTTTGGAAAAGAAATTATACACTGCATCTTTGAAGAGACATAGAAATAAAGAGCATAAAAAGAAAACACAACTAAGTGTGGCGTTTAAAAAAATCATTCATTTATTTACAAACGGCAGAGTTTTGCAGAGTGGATTGAAAGATTGTCATAAAACATTTGTCCATCAGTGAATTGCGTCGCACGTTAATCCAAAACAACAAGCATGCACATTATTCTCCGAGTCACCAAAATAGATTCGATTATAAAATATATATCTCAGTATAAACATCAGACTTGCTTGTAATCACAATCAATTCATCTGCGTAGTGATTCTCGTGTTCTTTACAGGTGATGTTTCAATAAGCTAAACAGTGCTCAGCTACTTTTTTCACATTTGCAAAAATAGATTTGAATGCCTTGCTCCTCCTTACTGTTAATATGACATTCAAAGCATCTAAACGCAAGTCAGGTGCGAATTTAGCTTGCAACTAACTAGATTAAAGAGAAAAAAAAATGTCTTTCTCTAGTCAAATTAATGAATGCAGACAGAATCAGAATAATATATCGAACAGGAATGGGTGACAAGCTTCCGACACTAAAACACATTCTTCATCTAAAAGTTACACCAGCAATCAATCACAGAGCTGACAGCAAGCCTGTCCTCACCAGAGCATCTGTGTGTTCAGCTCAACTCAACATCCCATAGTGCAGTGTAACCACCCAGCATCTCATGACTCAGATAATTTAAAGTTTACCTTCTTCAACATGTATATTCAGTATGAGGACATTTTTTTTATAATAGTTTAATTAATTTATCTAATAACAGGATTACATATGCAAAGCAAAAGGGATAAATAGATGAATAAAAATACGAAAGAACACAAACACAACAATGGCGCCCTCTGTTGACCGTAACGCGCGCACGCAACTAGACTAAAGCAGCATTCAGTGTCGCCAGTCACAGGCAAACAGTGCTTACATACAGCATTCTCGAGGTGTAAACACGTTGATACAATCATGTTCACTATGGCACATTCTTTCAATGCTAGAGACTAGTCAACCAGATCACTGTAGTACCTTGGACAAGTTGCGATAAATTCCTATCATAACTTTGGCTGTTCAACTGAAGATACATTTTTTCTTTGTAGAGAGCCAAATAAGAAATTATTTTGGGTATGAATAAAAGGAAAACCCCAAACAAACCTCTTACTTGGCACTAGATGGAAATCCCTGATTTGCTCCTGTTTGTGAGACTATTGCTTAAAATCATGTTTGCATGGTCTCTCACAACACAGAAAGGCCTATCTATGATCGACCCTATGCACTACACATAATGAACGTCAGGGCAAGCCATACCAATATATTAAGTAGATGATAGCTCTATATACTGTCTCTATATACTCTGCTTTCACATTTAATGAGAACTGAAACCAAAAACAACTACATAACATTTTATGTTCTGCACAAAGCAGCCTCTACTCTGAGTAGCAAGCCACATTTGCCACCTTAAAGGGATAGTTCACTTTGAAATTAATTTTCTATATGTTTTAGCTTACCTCAAGGGCATCCAAGGTGTAGGTGTCTTTGTTTCCGCAGTAGTTTCAATTTTGATATTTTTAGGTCAAACCGTTTTTGTCTGTCAGTCATATAATGGAGGTCTATGGTCACCACCTCATGTGTTAAACATGATTTAATGACTCGTAAATGCAAGTACACATTGATGGCCTAAGACACGAAACGAGCGGTTAGTGTGAGAAAACGAACAGTATTTATATCGCTTTTATCTCTTGTAACACCAGCCACATCCAAGTGATCTCTTCGGATGTGAAGAAGAGTTTGCGCGAGCATACGTAATTGTTTTCTTTTACGACGGTTTAAACATCCTGGATAAGCGCAAATTAGCACAATTTTAATTAGCCGTCTTACCTAGCATCTTTTTTCTGTGTAAACAATGAGTGACGTACACGCGCGAGAGAGAGAGAAGTGCCTGCGCCCTCAGATCACTTGGACGTGGCTGTGGTTACAAGAGGTAAAAACGATATAAATACTGTTCGTTTTTTCACAATAACTGCTCGTTTCGTGTCTTAGGCCATCAATGTGTACTTACATTTACGAGTCATTAAATCATGTTTAATTTGGACTTCTCTGTACATGCTCTTTGAGGTGGTGACCATAGACCTCCATTATATGACTGACAGACAAGAACGGTTTGACCTAAAAATATCAAAATTGAAACTACTGTGGAAACAAAGACACCTACATCTTGTGGACCCTTGAGGTAAGCTAAAACATACCAAAAATTAATTTCAAAGTGAACTATCCCTTTAAAAGGGTTGGTTCACACGAAAATAAAAATTGTACTCACCCTCATTTTGATATTTCTTCCACAGAACACTAAAGATGATGTTATATACATTTCCTAATGAGGTAAATTTGAATATATGCCACACAAATGAGTGGAATATATCCTTTTTCACTAATATGGAAAAAGCAGCATGAACATTCTGACAAACATCTCCTTTTGTGGTCTTCTACAGACGAAACGACATGAGGGCGACTAAATATTAATAATGTCAGAATTTAATTTTTGGGTGAACTACACCTATAAGCAGTTATGCGAGTTATATTTGGTGATTCAATATCAATCATCATCCGAACATCCATATGTCACCAGTGTAGCAGCATGCAGTTCAGTGGTTTGAGTTTTCACAAACACTCCATGGTGAAAGAAAGGAATCCACGTAAAAATTCATGAGATCATGACTATCTCCTTTGTAATGTATAAAAGATCTATAAAAAAGCTTAGCATTTCGATTTAGAGCGCAAAACATATCAGTTAAAGAACTCACGGTTTAATTCTCTGATATAGGTAGTTTCAATTTGTTTACGAATAGAAAGTGTTGGATAGAAATATCAACACCAATTCACCAATCAAAAGCAAAATACACAAATTCTAAAGCACAAACGTTGAATCTAGCTCGATATCCTCCAGTGCTACCAACTAAATTAACAATGAAAATCCTATGTTGACGTAAAAAGAATATATTTAGCTCTGCATTGAAATACCATTGGTCAAAACCCATCACTGAATATCCTGAAAGTGTACAAATGATCTCTATACATTATAAACAGTAATTGGTATTAGCGATTTTTTATTTATTTTTTTAAAGCGAAGGACCTACCAGACCTCATAATTTGAAACGTTGTTGTGCTTGAGGCTACAATTCTGTCTAGACTTACATAAAAAGCTGCTCAGGGCAATTCAACTTCTGATACACACTTGCTAAATCTAGTTATTCTAATAGGTCAAGGTCTATTGCTCCAATAGTGTACCTAAAGACATTTATCTAAATTTAAGCCTACTGAATTGAGTGATGCGATTTAAAAAACAAGAGTAAAACAAACAAAAACATATCTGTGACGTCTGGAAAAACAAATGTCGTCTTCAAGTAAGGGCACCAGACCAATGTAAGTGTATGTGAGCAAGACTCTAATATCAGAACAGAAAAATAGGGAGTTTTGCATTTAAGAAATGCACATTTCAGTGTACAAATCTTCCCAGGAAACCCGTAATTGTGTCTGATCTTTATCCCCAGCACCAATCTCATGATAAACACATGGAAATGTTGTCATATAGACATGCAGACGCATATAATCAACTTGTCTTTATCAAACGTAAGCCCGAAAGTCACTTGACAACGCAACGTCTCGGCTGAATGGTAAAAAGAACTTCCAGTGAAACCTGAGGATGTTTTGCTTTCCACCGAGTTCATCCAAGCACCTCACGGAGGCGGTGTATTCTCATACCTGTTCTCCAGCAGTCCCTCGCTCTCCTGGTGAAATCAGCAACTAAACCTTTTCAAGTGGCCGGAGAGAAGGAATGGATGCAACGCAGGATCGGATCAGGCACAGATGGATCCATGCGTGGAGGTCAGGGTGCAGACGGGTGTGGGCAAACCGTAGAAGAGCGGGTCAGTCATGGGAAAGAGGAGGAGGAAGAAGAGAAAGACCCCCAGCACGTAGAAAGAGAGAATCGTGAGGCGGTTCGGGTGGTCCAGGGCCGTGCCGAGAGCTGGAAAACCCATGTAGTTGCAGAAGGAATGGCACAGCACAGGACCCACCAAATGACCTAGAGACGCACATACAGGAATAGATAGTTGCATTAAAGCAGTAGTTCACTTTTAAAAAAAAACTTTTGCTGATAATTTACTCACCCTCATGTCATCCAAGATGTCCATGTCATTCTTTCTTCAGTTGAAAAGAAATTAAGGTTTTTGATGAAAACATTACAGGATTTTTCTCCATATAATGGACTTCAATGGGAACCAAACGGTTCAAGGTCCAAATGAGAGCTTCAGTGCAGCTTCAAAGGGCTTTAAACGACACCAGACGATGAATAGGGGTCTTATCTAGTGAAACAATCGGTCATATCAAAAATAAATAAAAAAAAACTTTAAGTTTTATAAGCACAAATGCTCGCCTTGCTCTGTTCTGTGATGAACGTTCGTGACTCTCCTGTTCGAACTCATTCATCAAAATGAACAAATCTTTTTCCGAGTCATGACTCGAAGGGTCCTAGATAAGACCCTTATTCATCGCTTGGTGTCGTTTAAAGCGCTTTGAAGCTGCACTGAAACTCTCATTTGGACCTTGAACCGTTTGGTTCCCATTAAAGTCCATTATATGGAGAAAAATCCTGGAATGTTTTCATCAAAAACCTTAATTTCTTTTCGACTGAAGAAAGAAAGACATGGACATCTTGGATGACATGGGGGTGAGTAAATTATCAGCAAAAGTTTTTTTTGTTTTTTTTAAGTTAACTACTCCTTTAATTTGAAAGCTGTTACAATTCGTTTGTCACAAATATAGTTATATCAGAACTACAATAAATGTTGTCAGGTCAAAACAATTTCCAGGTCACAAAGAAAATAAGAAATTATATTACACAAAGAAAACAAAGCATTGTATATTATTTAAATAATTTCTTCCCCAATTATTATTACTGTCTAATACAAACTAAAAGTTCTCCTTTACAGAAAGAACTTTCATCATGTCTTCACACAATTATATTTTTAAAGGAAATACCACAAATACTTCCTTCTTTCATAATTCCTTCCTAAATGATCATCACTGTCAGTAATACTTTACAAACTAAAAGTGATTCATATTAACTGTAATTCTCAATTTAGAGTAAGAATCATCATCATGTCTAGTTGCAATAATTTTAATAGAACTGGCATAAAGGGAATACCACAAAAAAAATCATGATGTATAGTATATTATTTTTCGCATTATGTAAGTCAATGTGCTTAATTTTAACAATACAAAAATTATGTATCAAAATCTAATTAATTTAACTTCTACTCCTCTTGTGAAGTAGCATTAAAGATAAATCACAGAAGCACCTGTCCTGATGAATATAAAGGCGGTGTAAGCTCCAAATACTGCCGTGTAGGAGAACTGGAACACTGAAAGGGACACACAAACAAACACAGACATGAGTAATTATGTCTCGCGGGCGGCATTACTCGCACTAAGGATGACGGTAAACTAATTACTCGGTTACCTGCAGAGAGGAAAATCCCTGAGACAGTGCCCTGTCTGAACCGAAGGAGCTCGATTACATGGTGAAAATGAGCTGCAGAGAGAGAAACAGACAGACGGAGGAAGAAAACAAGTTTACTATTACCATAATAGTCTACAAAGCAATGCAAATAAGATTTGATGGTCAGCCAAATACACATAAATACAGGGGTGATGCATACTGTAATAAATAAGACATGAGTGTGTTGATGTTCATGCTCAGGTTCTCAATTACCAGGTATCAAGTACCGAGTATATAAAAATCATTTCCCTGGAGTTTCCAAATCTGTTTTTAGTAATTGCTATTATTGCAGCAACGTTTGTTAAATTAAAATTTGCAATGAAATAAAAGTGTGCACGGTCTAAACTAAAAGTTAACAGTTTAGAATAATTAAGATTTCATGTTATTTAACTATGGCTGCATTTATTTGATAAAAAAACGTAACCACAGCAACATTTTAAAATATTATTACAATAATTGCGAATAACATAATACATCTTATATTTATATATATATTTCATTTATTCCTTTGATGGTAAAGCCATTGCTCCTGAATCGTGTGACAGAAGACTGATGTAAAAGGTGTTGAAAATTCAGCTTTGCCACAGGAATAAATGACATTTCAAAAAATATATTATATAAATATTATTTGACAACATTTTCCTCATCTGCATGGCCTTGATGACATCAGACAAAAAAAAAAATCTGAAAAAGTTATTACATTTGATTAAAAAAAACTAACTAAAATGCTCTGATAAACAGATAACAGTCTGTTTAAAAATTGTTAACCATGACGTTGCGCACCTAAACCACACACTCTAAAGATCACCTTGCTTAATAAGTTTTGATTAAAGTATAATCAGCAATTCATTGTTTGTTAGCATCCCGAGTCACCACTCACCCACACCAAAGAAGAGCGGGCATGTGAAGATTGCGGTGGAGGGGCCGGCGCAGGGGACCAGCATGGGAAGCATGCATGCCCGAAAAACCAGCTCCTCTGTCAGGGGCGCTACAACCTGGTTCCTCAGCCAGCGCATGTCGCTCAGACACAGTGTCCAGAAGCATGGGTCTGCAAAAACATGACGGATCAACAAAGATCAATCTAGTTGATTGATAGTTGGCCGCCTATTCCACTTCCCCAAAACAGATGAGATTTTATCTAAGGATACAGATTCAACTCCCTGACAGTAATCATTTACAATAGTTTAGCATCATGATGGCTTACTAACATTATAAAAATCCCAAAATAGCTTTCTAAACAGAGAGATTCAACTCACTGGAAGAGGAAAAGGCTGCTTACCGACTACAACTTTTATCCCATCAATGAGCCCCCAGGGGCAATCCATGGTTAGCTGGATCAGAGGGCCCAGAAACAGCACCTGACAGAGAGGAAAGTGATCAAATGATCAAATAAATAATGCCAGGTCAGACGTCTGATGTAATTTGGAAAACACTTTGCTTGAGGAAAACTGTCGTTTGCTTGTTGTTACTTGTTTAAAAAGAACACCAAGTACAGACTTTGTCATTTACTTACCATGGTCAGTACGAGCGGTAGGATGATAGCAGGGACGAGCCCCTCCAACCGGATCCCCATAAGGGCCAGTAATGAAGGACCAGGCTATTGGAGAAATCAAACACGTCTGATGTTTCACCATCAAATGAGATTAAGCGCAAAGCCAAAAAGCGAAATGTTTCACAATAAAATAATAAAAAATAACATTTTATTTTGTTATAACTATAAACAGGATTGTATGATGCAGCGAGGTCTAGAACCACATGTATATTTATGTTTTTACTCTTCTGATTCATTTGGTTAGCCTTTCAAAGCCTTAAACCAATTCTCTTTACCAAATCCCTCTATACCAAACACCTTTTGACATTAAAAATCACACAAGTCGGCATGAAATATAGCCGTTACACTTGTAAACAGGTTCTCGAACAAGAAAAAAAAAGAGGGGTGGGACTTGATTTTTGTCCATTGGGAATTGATGTTCTAAATCAGCACAAATTGAAATTATGGATAAGAAAAAAGGTCTAAGCCACCAGGAGCCTAAATTAGGAAAATTATGAGGGAAAACATGCAAAAAAAAAAAAAAAATAGGCTAATATAATTTATGCTGCTTACTATGCTATTACACATAGGGCAACAAAATTCCTTTTTCTGTCCAACTAGCTTACACAACCAGACAGAAAAAAATTACATTTTGTAACATTATAGTGTTATTTTTTTTTATTTTTATATTAATATTTTTACTTAGGGGGTTATTGTATTTTTTTTTTACTTTGCCTCAATTTGTAATAATTTAAATATATACATTTACATAAAATAGCAACATTTTTTGTTACATTTATTTCTCAATGTCATTCATGGCAAAGTGCCATGGTTAAAATGAAAATAACATGAATTTTCAACTACACTAGATGGCAGCACCATTCTCAAGTTTATCATTTAGATTTATGTTTAGACATAATAAAATCATTATTATAACAACATAACAATTTAGCTTTTTTTTCCTAAAGAGTATCATTTTGTTGCAGTTTTGACAACATTGGAGGAGTCGTGTCCTAATGGTTAAAGAGTTATTTCCTTTATTTAACCAGGACAATCAACAGCGTAAATGAAAATGAACAGCGCTCTCTTACACTCTTATTACCCACAACTGAGATTGGCACCTAACCCCCAATCGCTCCCCGGGCGCCGCAGCAGTTTGACCGGGGTGCACTACAAACTAGAACCACCACTGATAAATACTACAATATCCCATACAAAATGAGAATTGCCAGTAAATGCACCCAGCAACTGTAAACATTGAACATCTGTGTTGCAGTACACTAACCTGGATGCCTGTGAATTCTTTCCATGCCCACACAAACAGTGGAGACAGAGCTGACACAATCAGTACACTAGTGAAGCGCCTCTTTATCACTGCAGGATGATCCCTGTGGGTGCAAACAATCATACAAACAAACAAACAAATGTGTTGTTTAATGCATTCACTAATACGTTTGGTTTGCATCATCTAACCAGCATCTTATGTTACAGTAGGGTTGGGGAAAAGACAAACTTCACATACGGCTGCTACAACAAATAAAGACAAGAAATATAACTAAATAAATAGTTTAGAAGGCTCCATTCGACCTGCATTTGTAACATTCAATTCGAACAGCAATATTGAAATGTTTTCGACTCAAACGATACTGAACGCTCGATTCAAGCTGTATTGAACATTCGATTCAAACGATATTTAGAATATTCGAGTTATATATGATTAAAGCGTCGAATCGAACGATGATTGTCAAACACGCTTGTCTAGTTAGGGAGCTCAGTATGTTTTGTGACACAGACAAAGTCTACAAGTCATATACCTTGGTAAATCGCTTTTCCAAACGTATAAACTTCCGACATAGGAGCACGCGAGCAGTAAACAGGAGAGGATTGACACCCAGCAAAGCCCTTCAGGAACAGCCGCCACATTAGCATGGAGTTGGTGTTGAGTTGAATGAAACCCTGCCGTCAAATCATCGTCGTCTTTCATGGCGAAACCGACAGGGGCTGAAAACCACAAGACGCGCTGAGAAACTGCAGGTGTGGGTGACACATTAAACACCGCACACGGGATTTTGTTTTTAATCCTAGATAAGTGTATGTCCGCAATGGACGTATTCTGGAAAGAAGCTGAGAAGAGACTGTTTTGGCGCCACAGGATGACGCCATCAATGCGAGACGACCCTGCTGGCCCATATCCATATCCCATATTTCCATTCACAACTCGTGACAGCTTCTGATGATGATACAGTCACTGTACATTAAATAGGGGGGGAAAAAAACAAACAAAAACAAAAAAACATTAAATGGGGTAAAGGAAAACGACGGATGGTTTATATAACTCATAACTGGGACGTTATAACCTAAGAAGTTTTAATTAAATTAATTTCCGACCGAAACTAGGCTATTTTATAATTAAATAGGCCGACTGTGTGTATGCATACTGTATCCTACGCCATCCCTGGCATAATTGTATCTGTTATTTGGTGCATGCATTTTGACTACCTTGCTTGTCCTTGTCTATTGTCAAAACGTTTTTGGATTTCGACATAACTCCGGTCAACCAGTTACACGTTTATACCTGATAATTAGCTGTTAATTCTGTTGTGAAAATGATATAATGATATAATAATTATTTGTTATGGTATTATAAAATGTATAATCGTTTTATTATTATTATTATTATGCTTGCAAACCGTACAGAGTTGACATTATTTGATATACAACTTTGACAATTATAGTAGCTAGGTTTCTTGAATAACATGCGCATCATCGGGCAAAGATGTCGTATTAATTAAGAGGTGATTGTGTCAGCACAGTCACTAGCATTGGTGTAAAGGACTGTTCCACAGGTGTACGATACATTTAGGGATACACCACCGTGTATCCCTAAATGTGGGGAATGCGGAGGATTCCACAAGCTGTCAGCGTCACTGAGCGCGTATTACTAACAGCAGTGCTTGTGTGTGGTGGTGCCAACCCCACGAACGCGATCCTGAGGTGAAATCACGTAGCCTACGCTTAACTCATGAATATTAATTAGGCCGAGTAATCGTCCAATGGCGAAGCCTGATTTTTGAATATGAATCAGCCTCTGCTGACGTCGTGCTTTAGCAGTCCAATGGCGAGGGGTCTGCTCGTGAATATTAATAAGCCTCCTACCGTATTAGGATTCGTTCATTCGCTTTCGGAGGCGGGGCTTAAGCGTGTCGTGGCACCCGAGGCGCATGATGTGGGCGAGGGCAAAACCCTTCCTCGGATTTCTTCACCGACTGAGAGAACTGCGAGGAAGAGATGAGATGGGCGTGACAACGGAGTGTCTGGACTAGACTGAAAACACTCTTCTCCTGGATTAAGATCCGCGCTGGTTTCCGTGCAACTGATGACAACGGAGTGTGGCAATGCAAACCACACGACGTGATGCGCGTGCCATCCAGTTTAACACCGCGAGTGATGAATTAACAGCACGACGCCCAGTTTTACGGCCACACGGGGATTGACAAGCCAAGGATATTCAAGGCAGGGGTCTATAACATCATCAGGTGCGTATTCGGATAGTTTTTTTCCCCCCTTGTTCTGGCACCAAAATATTTTCCTCTTTTTATTCAATCACTTTCGTTATTTCAGTGTCCATGTCTAACGTTAGATGCGTGCGTTCTTCTCTAGTTGGTTACTATTTTATTTCTAAGCAATAATGATTTTTATTTAAAGTGTTATAATGAAATTATACGAATTATAATGAAATGATAGCCTACTATTTATAATGAATGAAATCAATAACGTATTTATTTTCTGCGGAATCCCTTATGTACTTCCCGGGCCTCAGCTGTGAAATGGCTCAGTATAAATAAGAGCATCTCAGTTCTAGTGGGATACAATTGCAGTGATGATTCTGATGAATAACAAATAGGTCTAGGTTAATCTGTCCATATGTAACATGCATTTTTAAAAAATTAAAATGGGAGTAATGCAAGTGTGACATTTACATCAAGGTGACACCTTATGCATTAATCAGTATTAATAAGTATTGCCAGACCTTCACATTTTCAGCTATAGTAGCCTAGGCTAAACGTCTCGCGTGCGTGTGTTTCCCGGGGTGGATCAGTAGGCTAGGCCTACGATTAGGCTACGTCGTGAAATTCGAATTAGACATCGAACTATAATTCGGATTTTAGAATTCGAATCTTTGGATTCAGAGACGCAATCCGCTGCAAATTGCAATCTGTCGTGTGACAGCATGGGCTGGTCCACGGGTCACGAGCAGAATACGAGCAATGCAATTACATAATTCTGTTTATAATGTCTCACTATTGCTTTTTCTATTGTTTTGTTTGTCATTCAAAGAAGTTATTTAACTAAAATGAACAAACCATCCAATGAATTAATTATAACAATAATAATAAAAAACCACATTCTTAAATTTTTAATGTTCACTCAACATTCTGTGATGTAATTTAACCACATTGTTGTTGTTTTTTTCATTATCTATCTAGTCTATAAATATTAGAGATTATTGAACAGATAATGAAAAAGAAGGGGCCTGTTGTAAATCTATCTAGTGAACATTAAAAATGAAGAATGTATTTGTTTTTAAATCATTGTTTGTTAGTTAATACATTGCTGGGCTAGTTTTGCTACTGTTTACAACTTTGTATGACCAATAAAACAATAGAAAAAGCATTAAATAGCTAGAGTTTTTCAAATAATAAACAATATTTGTCTCATAAACCTTCAGGTAAACCTACAGCAATTTGTTCATGTTCAGATCAAAATACATGGTTTTCTGGTGACTAATCAATCTGATCTCATAAACCTTTCCCATTTACTTATTGTCTGACACAACATATTGAACATTCATTTAAAAAAAGAGGCTTTGGTTATTTAAGTCTTAATAATAATTTAGATTTCCAGTAAACATCTTTAAAAACAATATACTAGAAAAGGATAATGAGTTTCCAGTGAAATCTAGACACAATATCTTGTTATTTTGAATGTCAAGTAGATCTGTTCTGTTAAGGAAAACGAGACAACGTCTGAGAGGAGACATTTCTCAATTATCATTAGTTTGAGAGGGATGAGTGCTCATTTAATCGAATTGAACATCGTTTTTAAATCTAGTTATTTCTTAATGTCTGAAAATCCCCCAGACTCTTTATATGTATTTTTAGTGATGTTATGAGGTTGGGAAAGTGCAATGAAGTTTGCTTGTGTTGTTGAGCTGTGGGATGATTATTACATGTCTGTTTAGTGTGTGGTACAGTAACGCTTTTTTAATAGTATTCTTAGTTTAAAGTTGAAATATTCCTTTTCATTCATCTGTAGTGATTATCTTTATGCGCTTTATAGTAATGCCTCTTGGAATTGTTGGAAAAAACCTTCATTTGATTATAAACGAACGTCTTTGCAATGTCACATAGGTGACCCATATACGATTTTGCTGACGTGCACCTGTGAATGCTGATGTGCTGTTAAACAGGAAGGGTGTAAATGACAGATCTTCTGCGGAGGTCCCTGCTCTGAAGGTCACTATCATGTTTCACAATCACGGGGAGACGATGTCAACGTGTTCTCGCTCTTTCTCTCGTTCCCTCCCTCCGGTGGCTGCAGCTCTTTCAACCGCTCGTCCAGACAGGAGCAGCGGGGTCAGACAGCACTGTAGGACACTCACTCCATCATGAGTCGCACACACACACACACACACCTGCTGCAGAGCACAGCTATGACATCCATTCAACAAGCTGCTGCTGAGATAAGGACATTATATAGTATAGTGTGCAGCACTGTTATAGATGGTGTTTTCACATTAATTATGCAATATGCACCACTGTTGTAATGGTGCAGACTGCAGTCTATTCAGAGACCAGAACAAATAAATGTTATTCTGTTAAAAGACAACATGGTGCTAATGCAGGACATGGTGTGATGTGCGTACAAGAGATTTCCATCTTCATAACAGTATTGCTAATATTTATTTAGCCTAATGGTTTACTAGAAAAGCCCTCAAAGATAGAATATACATAACGTTTTTTTGTCTGATTTGGAAAATGCATTGCGAAAGAGAACGTCACACGACACAAATTTTAAAATTAAAACATACACTAGCATGCAAAAGTTTGGGGTTAGTTATTTTGAGCAGTTATGGTCTCCACCAGGCTTGGGAGGGTTACTTTAAAAAATGTATTCATAAAAAAAAGTATTTAGTAGCATAATCCAAGTACCACAATGTTACTTCTGGATTACTTCAAGGACAGATATTATTTTAAGAATTTCACAGCCCTGAATAAATATTTATGTAAAGGACTATACAGACATCTAGTGGCTACAGTATGGTATTACAGATTATTTTCTTTAATTTTAAACTAGGAAAAAATAAAATAGAACATTTTTTTCCAATACAAATTATTTGTTCTTCATGCAAATATAATAAAGATTTTTAGACAATTGAAATGTTTCTTCAACAGGAAAATTGAGAATGCAAATGATTCATTTGGTTGGATGTCTGTCGAGTCCTTCCATAAAGAAAGTGTTGTCATTGCTGGAAGGTACATGTTGTACAACCATGTTGTTGGTATTTTCTTCTTTAAAAACAAAATAGCAGCGGAATTTCCAAGAAATGAAAGCATTTTTACCTGTGGGCAGCATTGTTTCTAGCAGCAGTGATTCAAGCTGTGTCTGAGGGAGATTGTTGTCGAGAGCTGTTATTTTGCGCGTGCGCCAGCGAGTGGCACACGTGACTCGTGTCGTGAGTCATTAGGCTAATCAAGCAACGCATGTTGAAATGAGTGTTTCAAAAATACCCGGATGGTCTACTTTTTCCGGTCAGAATCCGAAGTGTAGCTGTGTCTGAAACCGCTCACTCGTTCACTCATTCACTAATCCCTATATAGTGTATGGCATTTGAGTGCACTATATCTGCAAGGAGTGAAGGAGATGAAGTGAGTGAATTCGGACGCTGACGTTTACACTGTGCGTCGGAGAGTTGGAGCTGTCGCAGAAAAGGCTTCGTCACGCATACTGATAAAACTCCTTTTATCTTACATTACCTACTTTATAAAATAATATTAACAACAATAACAATCATAATGACTTTATTTTGTAATTATACCTCCGTGCCAGCTTTGTAGTTTCATCGACTGAAATTGTACATTAACTCTCACGTT